GATTTGGGAATGGGATACTGGCTTACTACTTACTGAGTCCTACACAGTATATACAGTGGCCTGCACATTATTTTAAAACCTGTTAAGAGAAATCGTAATTATTATTGTAGAACTGACGTTTCAAACCTCATCACACTGCATGCAATGGCGTAAAGTATTCTTCTCGGAAATCTAAAGCATTGTTTTGTCTTTTTTTAACCAATTTGTATTTTATGTAAATGTATTTGCATAACTTTTTTTACTTCTGGATGAAAAAGTAATATCTTTGAATGTACACAAACGTAAATATTAATAACAAATTATTTGAAACTCCACGAGTCGAATGGACGATTTTATTGATACTTTTATGGTGTTGTTTTGTCATATTTGGAATTTGACAGCCAGCTCCCATTCACTTCAAGATTTGGAACAACAAGATTCGATAAACAGTGACAGAATTTTTGGTAAGCTATTCCTTTAAGGATCAGTGAAACACACCAGAAATATTTCCATTCTGCACTGATCTCTCCACAGCCACAAAGCACAACATAAACACTATTAAAAGTCTTTCACTCAGAGATTAATGCCTCTCACACATCCAGACGCCCCGTGACACCCCTGATACTCCTCCAAATTATACTGACAGACCTTGAGTGCAGGCTGACAAAGATTTTATGGCTGCATGTGTGCATGCTTAGAAATCTAACTGTGTGGCAAGGAATGTGTGTGTAAAGTTGCACTGATTTCTAGTTTCAGAATCCTGAAAACACCATGATAGATCAACTCCAGGCTGTCATTACATATAAACAGTGGTTGAAGGAAAGTAAACCCTATCGGGTTTACCTCCTTTATCACTCTATATATATCTTAGATGGAGCAATGTGTCTTTTTAGACTGACCCAGGATGAGCTACCCTAACAAAATCCTGAGTTCGTAAAAGAGAAATGGCCAACATTAGTCACAGGTACAGAATATAGACAAGAGCGATAAGCCTGCAGCGATCTGTTCTGCCCCATCAAACTAACAGCTCCACACTAATGGAAAGCTCTTTTAGACAAATACTTAATAGAGCCAAAAGCTGCTAATCAACCATTTTGATTTAGATTTGAGGGTCTTAAGAGAGGAATCAGGTGTCTGGATGAGGCCGGCAATCAGCGAAAGAAAACAACCCAAGGCCAATCCGATCCAGAGACACGAGAATCTGAGTGGATTAATGTGGTGCTTAATCTGTTTTCAAAAATCTTTCAAACAAGTTGAAGAGCTCCAATATTTGTGAGAGAACCTGGCATAAACAAGCTCGTCTCTGCCATTGATGAGAGTGCAGGCCAGCTTTTAAAGACTTTTATTATATTATTACTATATTGTGAAAGCAGGAAGAAACAGCTCTGTGTTTAAACGTCAGTGAAATGTGGCGCACACACATACACACACACACACATCCTGTTTATTGCGCCTGGGTTGGTTTTATATGCGTTTTGATGTCGACCACCCAGGGAGACTTGACTATTGAACCTCAAAACCTCTGTACAAAACCCAACCAAAACAAGTAAACCTGTTTGTTTTAATCTATTGTCATTAGCCTCTGAGCTGCATTAGACTATGACGTTGTGTAACTCTTAATTTGGGTTGCTGTTTGTCACAATGGACCTTGTACAGTACAATGTAAACTTTTTATATATGAGAGGGTTTTTTATTGCGCGTGCACACACATGTATATATTTGTTGTAAAAGGTGTAAAAAAAAATAAATAAATAATTCGGAATACCTTTTTCTTTTGTTTTATTTTTATATAGCAATATTGATATTTCAGCATGTGTTCCTGCATCCAGATGTGCTGGTTTAGCTTTGATGCATTTGTTGACCAAGAGAGACCGTTTAAGAGCACTTCAAAGTGTTGCAACCGTAAGCAGATAAGAATCCCTGAGGGATACACTTCTGTTCTGCTCCACCCGATGGCATCACGACGAACACACTAATCCACCCGCACAAATTTAGACCTGTCTGCGCGAGCTAATGCGAACGGCTGTCACCGGCCTGTTAGTTTGCTGGTTAACTTTTTGATGTTCTTCATCCTTTAAGATTTTGGTGTCAGCACAGATTCAGGCTGCAAAAAGAATCATGTTATTTGTTGCGAATGTGTGAAAGAAATGGGTATGTAATGGGGTATTGAAAGTAGAGTCAACATCACTAAACCGTGTTTTTGGGTTCTGTTAATCATGAATTCTTTTTAAAAAAGAGCCTGTTTAATTGTGAGTTGTCGGGGTTGTCGTCATAAGCTGACACTGTGTTTTGTTCCCTGTTGATGACTGTAGATAAGAATGATTTGTTTGTAATAAGCAGGCCACTTCAAACAATTGAATGCATGTCATTCGCAAAACTCGACACATCCCATATCCCTTGTATGTTCACTTATGAAACGTTTTGCTAATTTCCATTGTCAATGTAACACATTTTACTCCTAAATCAGCATTGAAAATGTCAGAACAAGATCTGTGTGCTCATGCTAATGATTTTGCTTAACTTGATGGAAGTCTGAGATGAGAGAAATTCGGCAGATACTGCTTTATGTGATCGACCTCAAAAATCCTGATCGGAGCACCCCTAGTAATAAGACACATTATTCATTGCATGGCTCTAATTTTCTCAAGACATGTCTCAAGACATTTTCAGGTTTCTCCAGAAAAGTTCAATTGAGTTCAAGCTCTGGCTGGGCCACTCAAGGGCATTCACGGAGTTGTCCATAAACCACTCTTGCTGTGTGCTTAGGGTCATTGTCCTGTTTGAAGGTGAACCTTCTGCCCAGTCTGCAGTTCTGAATGCTCTGGACTAGGTTTTCATTAAGGTGTAGCATCTGGACCAATCAAAAACACAATTTTTCATTTCATTTAACAAATCAATTATTCATTAGATTAACAAGTCGTCACAGACCCCTCACCCAATAGACTGGGCGCGAATGACCACAGGCCACTGGTTACCATGGCAGCCACGAGACCTTTGCTAGACCAGAGCCATTTACGACCTAATGGAATGCAAGTAGGGAAAATCACTGCCTTTGAATTAGAAAGAGACACAGTGCCCAGTAGAACTTGACTCTTTTCTAATTAATCCATAGGAAAACCTTTTTTTGAATGAACACACATATCCTCCATTGTGTATGTTGTCTTTGAGATTTTATACTGTTTTATGCAGGCTTATGATGGAAACACTCATTCCTGTCATCTTGCCTATATGTAACCCTACCATGTTTAGTATCTATGAATTCGCCTTCTGATGATCTAAACGAGAGTGTATATTATATGTTGGTACATAGGCAATATATTAGTGTTTTAAGAATCATTAAGTAATTTCGATTCAAGTTCCATTTGCAAATTACCATGCCCTCACACAAAGGGTCATAAAAATCCCCAGTATGTCCAACCGCCCGCTTGGGACGTCAGCCTTTCTCATTGGACAAGCCCATTTTGAGAGGCGGGATTATGTTAGACTAAGTGTTTATGTAGTTAATAAAGTCTTACTTGTATCACACCTAACGTTGGTCATTGTTTGCTCATAACTGGAGTCACTTAATCATGCAGATTTATGCTACGAGCTCTTTGTAGAATTGTACAGTAAGAAAGTTATTTCCCTTAACCAGGAAATTAACGTTCTTAATGACAGACAGTTGACCCTGAGAGGTCAAGTAAATATCTACAGCGGATCTAAATATTTATAATTAATTATAACTAGTTAGGATTAATTATTCATATTTCCCTTATGAGCTGATTCGCTACAAAGGCCATTTCAATATTTCGCTGCATTGAGCTTTCCTTCTACTCTGACAAGTCCCCCAGTCCCTGCCGCTGAAAAACAGCCCCACAGCATGAGGCTGCTACCAGCACACTTTACTTTTGGGATGCTGATGTGCAGGTGATGAGCAGTGCCTGGTTTTCTCTATACATGATACTTGGAACTGAGGTTCATTAGACCAGAAAATCTTGTTTCTCTCAGTCTTAGAGTCCTTAGGTCCTTAAGAATTGAGTCTGGCCACACCCCCATGAAGCCCAGATCAGTGGAGTATTGCAGTGATGTTTGTCCTTCTGTACGTTTCCCCCATCTCCATATATGATCATGGAGCTCAACTAGAGTGACCACCATCATCTTGGTCATGACTCTAACCAAGACCCTTCTCCATCGACTGCTCAGTTTAGCCAGGAGGCCAGCTCTAGGAAGAGTCCTGATTTTGGAAGTTTGGAAAAATCAGGAATCTTCCTAGAGCTGGCCTCCTGGCTAAACTGAGCAGTCGATGGAGAAGGGTCTTGGTTAGTCATGACCAAAAGATGCTGGTCACTCTAGAGAAACCTGAAACCATGTCTTGAGACATGTCTCGAGAAGATAATGTCTCGAGTAGGCTAAATGCTTCTGTCAATCTTCAATGTAGCAGATTTTTTCTGAACTCTTCCCCAGATCTGTCTTGACACAATCCTATCTCTGAGCTCTACAGGAGCTCTTTTGACCCCAGGGCTTGGTTTTTGCTGTGATAGGCATTTTCAGCTGTTAGACCTTTTGCTGAGGGGCGTGTGCCTTTTCAAATCATACACATTTAATTGAATTTGCCACAGATTAACTTCACTCGAAGTGTAGTAACAAGTACAAGTGATATGAATGTTACCGAGCTAAATTTCAAGTGTCCCAGAAAAGGGTATGAATACTTGTGCAATGTAATTATTTTCATAAGGCAGTTTAACATAAGGAAGCAACATGAAATGTGAAAAAAGGGGTATGAATACTTTCGCAAGGCACTGTATGTACAATTGAATTGCAACATTTGTTGACAATTAAAATATATGAAGTGAATTAATAAAGCATATGAAAAATACAGTACTACTGGAGAGTGAAATAAGTGGGGGAAAATGTAGGTGAAGTGTGTAATTTCTGTGTTTAATGCTAAAATACTAGTATGAGCCAGAATAATATTCTCAATTATTTGCGAAGAGCTAATTTATTGAGCCTTTTTCTGTGAGTAACCGGTCCCCCCCCCGCAGGTATAATAAGAACGGGGTGGACCTGAATCGCAATTTTCCGGACTTATTCGAGGGTAATACCGAGCGGGAAAGGGAGAAGGAGGTCAGGGCCGTGATGGACTGGCTAAAGACAGAAAGTTTTGTCCTCTCAGCTAATCTCCACGGAGGAGCGGTGGTGGCCAGCTATCCCTACGACAACAGCAATGGAGGTCAGTTGCTAATGAAGCCATAGCAGTAGCTTTCCCTTTTTTTATGATAGAGATTTGTTAACCCTATAAAGCTTACTGTATCATATTTGATATGGAAGTTGTAAGGCTTCTAAATTTTCAACATCATAAATTTTACTGAAAATTGTACACAATGTAGCTTATGTTTGTTGTTTGATTTGTAGTTTTTTTTTTCTTTAGTAACTAAAAGGCCTCTTCTAAATAACTGTAAAACCTTTATGACAGACATTTATGACATCTGCTTTGTACATTACAATGTTCATGATTACCTTGTTTTAGCTCTACATTAAGTAAATCCACTTCACCAGGTAATTGCTCTTCCACAGCAATGCTATAGATCTACCACAAAAATGGAAGTTCAAAGACTTCCATCGTGATGTCTCTGGCGCATTTGGTCTATATGGTAAATGATTCATAAAAGGCTGATGTATGGAATATGAATATTCGTTGTCAACAAACACATGCAAACCGTTTTAAAATTTATTTGTAAATTTAGTGTACATTTGATATAAACTTTTACATCAGGTATTTATTTATTTCTACTAATTATTACTACTGATAATAATTATTATTATTACAATGTTATTACTTTTGCCTTTCATATGCTAGGCTTTACAGGGTTGAAGGCATAAATCAATTTCTGAAAGCAGAAAGTTTATTATTATTATTCTGAAAAGCAAGTCAAATGATTGTTTGTTGTAACGTCATTATTTTAAAAATAATTAAGGTAATATGCCTTACAAAAAGCATAAAAAAAGTTTTAGCACAACTGTCTTAATGATGAACAGTGAATCTGTTGGAATTCTGTCGAGTCTAGCATCATAATGCCATTGACTTTGATTCAGGAAGCGAGCTGCAGGGAGGCCACAGCATCTCCCCCGACGACGACGTGTTTGTCCACCTGGCAAAGACCTACTCCTACAGCCACAGAGAAATGCACAACGGAAACAGCTGTTACGATTCGCAGGACTTCACCCAGGGCATCACTAACGGATATTACTGGTATCCTCTACCAGGTAAAAGTGTTGTAAGCATCAGTTTAATATTTGTTCATGACAGTGTGCCTGCAAACATAGCTAATATTTTGATGTAGTAATTGTAACGATTAAATTTTTTGTAACACGATTGTAAAGTAGGAAAAATTAATTATTAAAATTAATTTTTACGTACTATAGGCCTGGGTGATAAAACGGTATCGATATTTATCGACAGTACACCATCTTCGATAAAGGTATAAAAAATGTTCGATATAGTGCACGATATAGGCACGTGCTATGAGAATGGAAGTTGTAAGGCTTCTAAATTTTCAACATCATAAATTTTACTGAAAATTGTACACAATGTAGCTTATGTTTTTTGTTGTTTGATTTGTAGTTTTTTTTTTTTTTAGTAACTAAAAGGCCTCTTCTAAATAACTGTAAAACCATCCCACCTTCAGGTGGTGGTACATGTGCCTTTTTGCTGTGAAATCTTGTATTTCCAGAGCGTGAAGGTAAGGTCATACAAATGAATGAATGAACTGCTCATTTTAAAATCTTCCTGGTCTTACTGACATTTATGACATCTGCTTTGTACATTACAATGTTCATGATTACTTTGTTTTAGCTCTACATTAAGTAAATCCACTTCACCAGGTAATTGCTCTTCCACAGCAATGCTATAGATCTACCACAAAAATGGAAGTTCAAAGACTTCCATCGTGATGTCTCTGGCGCATTTGGTCTATATGGTAAATGATTCATAAAAGACTGATGTATGGAATATGAATATTCGTTGTCAACAAACACATGCAAACCGTTTTAAAATTTATTTGTAAATTTAGTGTACATTTGATATAAACTTTTACATCAGGTATTTATTTATTTCTACTAATTATTACTACTGATAATAATTATTATTATTACAATGTTATTACTTTTGCCTTTCATATGCTAGGCTTTACAGGGTTGAAGGCATAAATCAATTTCTGAAAGCAGAAAGTTTATTATTATTATTCTGAAAAGCAAGTCAAATGATTGTTTGTTGTAACGTCATTATTTTAAAAATAATTAAGGTAATATGCCTTACAAAAAGCATAAAAAAAGTTTTAGCACAACTGTCTTAATGATGAACAGTGAATCTGTTGGAATTCTGTCGAGTCTAGCATCATAATGCCATTGACTTTGATTCAGGAAGCGAGCTGCAGGGAGGCCACAGCATCTCCCCCGACGACGACGTGTTTGTCCACCTGGCAAAGACCTACTCCTACAGCCACAGAGAAATGCACAACGGAAACAGCTGTTACGATTCGCAGGACTTCACCCAGGGCATCACTAACGGATATTACTGGTATCCTCTACCAGGTAAAAGTGTTGTAAGCATCAGTTTAATATTTGTTCATGACAGTGTGCCTGCAAACATAGCTAATATTTTGATGTAGTAATTGTAACGATTAAATTTTTTGTAACACGATTGTAAAGTAGGAAAAATTAATTATTAAAATTAATTTTTACGTACTATAGGCCTGGGTGATAAAACGGTATCGATATTTATCGACAGTACACCATCTTCGATAAAGGTATAAAAAATGTTCGATATAGTGCACGATATAGGCACGTGCTATGAGTGACGCAGACAGCACACACAAACACGAACTCATGCTGAAATGAGTGCTGTGCCTGCAGGAGATTGTGAATAAAAAAAATTATATTAGTCGAATTTAAAATAAACATTTGCATTTGAATGTTAAGAGTGCGTCAGGGAGCGTCATCAGTGGCGCATGAGATGCGGTGATAATGATGTAAGTGACGTTGTTGCATTTTAATGTTTTGTTAGTCTAGCCCACGAGATGCGCCGCTGCTGTGTTATGCATTCAAAAGCTCAATGCGGAGAAGATCTCTGAAACCAAGCCATTCACACAGATGCATATTCAGCGCATTTTTTTAGGTGAACAAATATGACTGCTGCACTCACGTCTCACACGAGATGTAGCCATGCAAAGTTAGAACAGTTTTAACTTTTAGAAAACACGTCGCGAATTTGTGGCGGTTTATTCCTTTTCACTGCATCTCATGTTTTTAAATGCAATCTGCGTGATGGGCGATTCGGCTCTTTGTATTAACCCTTTAACTGTCACCCGTCCCCTCTATGGGACGCCTACGTTTACTTCATTATATTACAATCTAATCATGACAAACTATATATCGTTGGAAAGGTCTATGACTCCTAAATAGACATTTTACCAATGTTTTTGTTAAAAATTATGTAGGAAAAGTAATTAAAATAAATAATTTTTGACAAGTGCACCTCAAAAATCTACATAACATAACGGGAGTTCTGACCTTTGTCAAAAAAAGTCGTCTTCGTTGCCTTTTTCTCTATCACACTTTAGAAATAATCAGAAATTATATATCAATTGAAAACTTTAAATCTCAAAATTCATCCTTTGAAACCCATTTTAAAATCAAACATTGCATTACCATGAAAATGGTACATCAATATGTTACAAAATGTTTCGTTCATGAATTATAAAAATTTGGATTGTGCACTTTCACGTCTATGTTCAAAAATGTGAGTGACAGTAAAGGGGTTAAGCAATGCATAAATACATGATGCCGTTTTGTTCATAATTATGCAATTTACGAAATTATATTTGATTTATACGAGTTAATTTAGACATAATGCACGTTTTTTTTTATAGACCGTTATTTCCCTGCGTTCACACATGCATTATTTTGCTCATTGCGCCCTCCTGTGACCTCAGGAGACAAACCAAAAGTTTCCTTAAGACCTATTTAATCTGCATATAAAACATTAGAAATTAGATATTTGTTTAATTTTTATTGTGTTAAAAAAAAATAATTTGTTGTTTGTCTCAATAAATTGGGTTAATTAAAAAAATAGTTTTTTTTCTATTGCTCTGTTTTAAAAAAAGGTTCTAAAAAATGTCAATAATTTTAACGATCAAACCGAACGATATGAAACATATCGTTGATACATTTTTTTTTAGCTATATCGCCCAGCCCTAATGTACTAGTTTCATGTGTCACTCTCTTAGGTGGAATGCAAGACTATAACTATGTGTGGGCACAGTGTTTAGAGCTCACACTGGAAATCTCTTGCTGCAAGTTTCCTCCAGAGGCGCAGCTTCCCGGCCTATGGGAGGCCAACAAACCCGCACTACTGGCTTACATACAGCAAGTACACCTAGGTAGGTACAACGAGCAACGTTAAATGTGATTGTATCAGCATTAATAATAATAAGCCCTATTTATTATTGGAAGTTATTTGGGGTCCATGGAGAGGGTAGGTGGTTTCAGGTTTACCTGTAAAATGTGCCACCCACACTTAAATGGCCACTGTGTGAAATTTTTTTTTTCTATGGTACTAAAAAAAAATCATGCTTAACTGAAATCATGATCATTAACAATCATTAATTTCATTAATTGAAATCATGAAATATATAGAAATGTAAAAAACAAACAGAAAATTTTTTGATATTTCAGTTTTTCTTTTTTAATAAATCTGCAAAAATGTCAACAATTCTGTGTTTTTCTGTCAATATGGGGTGCTGTGTGTACATTAATGAGGAAAAAAAATTCACTTAAATGATTTTAGCAAATGGCTGCAATATAACGAAGAGTGAAAATTTAAGGGGGTCTGAATACTTTCCGTACCCACTGTAGCTCCGGTTGGAATGTTCTTCCGTGGGATGTGTGCAGTTCTGTTGATTAACTGCTAGAGCGCCAAAAGTTACATAGTGCTGCTTTAAAATGCCTTTCTCACCAGCCTGGCACGAACGGCTCCACTAGTTCCAGGTTTGATGAAGGCCCGCCTTCTGAAAAATTAAATGTGTTGTGATCGGTTAGCTGTCCCAGTGCATTGTGATTGGCGAACAGACAGTGGTTCAGTACTGCCATGCCCCTTGCCAAAAAAGAACCCCGGAAAACAACGCTGTAGTTCTTGAAAAGGGATTTAAAAAAAAAACGAAATATAGCCCACTTTGGAGTGGACTTTGAGATTTGTATGCCCAAACATACACACTGACTAAAATTCAAAAAGTGCAAAAGCATAATCGGACCCCTTTAATAAATTGACCATTTTTTAACAATAGTATATATATTTGGCGTGCTCGAGTATGTGCGACAGACAACCATGGTGCTCATTCACATATAGCTATGCAGATTATACATTAAAATAGCAGTGGTTTTGTTTTTTCTTAAATGTTGACATTCACTAGTCTATATCTTGATTTGATTAACCAAGTGTTTGTATGCATGTATATTACCGTTGCACTTATCTGTACAAACATTATCCAAAAATCTGTGACATTGTGTTACACTGTAAATGCCATAATGGCTGGAATGTGTCTGTTTTCTGTATTGCATAAATCATTAAAAAAATTAGGGCGGGTGGATTATTGTGGCACAATAAGCATATCCGGTTACAGTCACAATTAAATTGCACAAACAAACACCGTACCATCCCCTGACCTTTAGCAACAGGATAGTCTCACAGCTGAATCAAAGGGACAAAGGCGTTGTCCACACCCAGCATTGACAACTGTCACTGTAATCCATCCGCAAGCAAACAGCAGGATTTTAAGCCAACATGTTACCACACCTTTCAAGCAACAGGGCAAAAGAGATAGTTAACTAACTAGAGCAGCTAGGGTCCTGTAATACCTCACAGAGACCACTAAATTGTTTACAGTCAAGTTGCGTTTGACATTGTAAGATGGGCCGTGCGCCTTTAAAAGTCACTGACATATGACAGCGACTTGCCGGCGTAGCAATGCCTTAATAGATAGAGGTCATGCAGGTTTATGCAAAACATTGTAGAAAAGCAAGACAACATATTTTCCATTTGAATATAGTGTTGGAAAAAACAACTGTGGCGTTTATATGTTCCCTGTGATTGCTTGCATGTTCTGATATTAGGTGGCTGCTTAGTGAAAAGAGGCCACCCCAAATATGAGGAAAAGAACACTTCTTCTGAAAAAGTCAAAGATTGATTTATTTTGCACAGGGGTGAAAGGAGTAGTGACGGACTCATACGGGAAGCCTGTCCGAAACGCCGTAGTGGAGGTAGCGGGGAGAAGAAACCTTTGTCCCTTCAGGACGGATCGTAACGGGGAATACTACAGACTGCTGCTGCCCGGCAACTACACCATCACAGTAAGCTCAGTACCTCTCGTGAGGAACTCACTTGGCGTTCTTCCACAATAGTATTACAAAATTACTGTATATTTAGGAAAAGCGCGATAAGAAATGGTGTTTGTGTTGGTGGTCTTCTCCGAGTCAGTCACAAGTCAACTCACTCTGACATTTACAAAGCAGCTTAAGAATGCAGAGCTTTGGGGTTTGAATCCACCAGAGATTTAGTCAGCAAATAAAGATGGACAGTGGGCACCACATATAAGCAGGCTGTCTTCATGTGCCTTAGTCTAGGAAATACGGTTCATTGAGGAGAAATTAATTGCATTTAACTGTAAAGTTGGGGTCAAAGGCTACATTCGCTCTAAATAAAAGGTTTATATTGTAAAAATGATCATCAGTTAGAGCGAACCTTGGAAATTCCCAGAGTGAGGCATTATTGTAAAGTAGTATCAGAAAGGTCAATATATGTTTGTTAACCAGTTTGCATTATTTTATGGATTTTTTGTAGTGTCCAGTTGGGAAGAAAAACTAGCACCAGTAAAACTGCGTTGGGAGTTTTTTTTTTTTTTTGTACCGTTAAGTGGGGTGATGAGAATTCAGTTTGAAACACATTAATTCATATGCAATTTAAGTAATTTTATTACTTCTAAACCAAACAGTTACACTTGAAATTTTCTTGCATTTAGCTCCAACATTAATCAAGGCCTTCCCTAGCCACAGGTGAGTTCGATCAGGGTTGTAGCTAAACTGTAAGACGGTGCATTTCAAGGGCCAATGTTGCCTCTCTTTATTCTACATACTTACCTCAGCATGATTATCACTGTGCATTCTACTCTAACATAAGTTAGTCTTTACAAGTACACATACACTACTCGGGGGCACATATACAATGGAAACCCTGCAAACATTACACAAAAAAATCTGACTCACAGAGGAAACACTCACTGTATGGCAGATGACATTAACACAGAGGTACAAATTCACTTACAGCCATTACACAACATTACCAGATGGGGACACTGCCTGCAGCCAATCATGTAGAGACCCATCACTGGTCTTCTGTCTCCAGCTGTTCACAAATTTTATTAGTCATGCCAATAAAGACAAATGAAATGTGTAGATATTTAACTTAATTTAATGTCTGTATCAAAAGAAATCAGAACTCTTTTGATACAGAATAACAGCTTCATTTACATCTATGCTGCTCCATGTCTCCAGGTGACATACCCAGGACACAAGACCCTCACTCAGACCGTTCAAGTGCAGTATGGTCCAGACGCATTCTCTGCCCTCACACACAACTTCTTCCTTCAAAAGAACGACTATAGCTCAAAAGCAACACAACTACCCCAGTCCTGCACCACCCCAAATCTGGGAATCACAGAGAGCGACAGTGCCACCCTGCTGCCCACTGTGTTCACTACACTTACCTTATTACTCCTCCAAAGACTGCTGCTCTGAGGGGGAAGAGACTTTTAAACATCAAGGACATGCTCATTTTATTTTCCTGCTTTTAATTTATCTTTTAACCTTTTGTACAAGTCAAGTTTCCACATTTGGAGCATTTCAAGAATATCCACAACCCACCATAGTCATGACAATTTTTAGAACAGTTACCAATTCTTTGACCAAAAACCTCAACTGCATTACATTGAGTTTCAAACTCCGTGTTTCACTTAGTTTTATAATATGCCTACATACCTATTTTCAATTGTGGAAGATACTATTATACTGATGACTGAAGGCTATAAAAGTTGAAGGCTGTGTGCATGTGACACAATTATATAACATGCAAATTGTAACTGTTACTAGTCTTGACGTGTTCACTTTATCATTTAAAGATTTGTAGATACTGTGTCAAGCTAATTACCTTAACCTCATTTGTACATTGACTGTCTCTTTGCAGCTGTGTAACGTGAAAATGAAGCCAAATGAAACCCAGTGCTCTTTCTACCTCACTCAGGCTCACGTTAAAGACTGACAGTGCCTTCAATAAACATGTCAAACACAGGATCTGCTGTCTCCTTTTTCACGTCGCATGCTTTAAGCATATTTAAACCATGTCATGCAGTTTACCTTTCATTTTCTATGTAAAGCCAATATTAACACATTACATGCTAATCTCACAACTTCATTACACACAGCATTCAGAAAGCTTGAAAAAAAAATGTTTAAGGTTTTTAAAAATAGAACCTGCTTTCAGGATGACACCTGACTATAGCTCAAAACTACCCCCAGTCCTGCACCACCCCGAATCTGGGAATCCCAGAGAGGGACAGTGCCACCCTGCTGCCCAATAAATCAGCTGATTTGCACAAAAACATTTTTTTTACTTCAATTATTAATCAAAACAAAAACACTTTTTTTTTATCTGTAGTTAATGCATTAACAAATACAGTTCTTAGTATACGATAAACCGTACACCACAGAAGCTTACAAAACGCATTCAAACAGCAACATATCCACTGGGAGACATACTGGGGGCCTAAAAAATACCATTGCACCTTAAAAGCTCATACTCTCTTTGAGACACCCCTCCCCAGTGCCAGACCCAAGGCTGAAAGGCACTTGCTAAACGGCAAGACATCACCAAGCTAGATTATACAATTATAAAATGCATGTTATTTTCAACTATTTGTGCTTATGGTCACAACTTGAACCCATCTGGCCATTATTCATAAATGCTCAAAGCCTTCGTTAATTACATCAGTACCAAGTGGCACACTTTCCGGAGACAAATATTGTCTACGCGTCACAGAAAGGATCTCGGGCAGACTTTGAGACACCCCTCCCCAGTGCCAGACCCAAGGCTGAAAGGCACCCTCCAAATTATTACTCAAGCTGCCATTCACAACTTTTTATTCTAACCCTGAATTTACTGCATAATTCAAATGAGTGTGCTACTGCACACACATTCTTGTTTGGGTTTACCTCATTCGTTCTGACCCGGAGCTCTGTAATTTTCAACATGTCATCCTCTGAATTCCGCCCCAAGGTCTTCTATCTGTGTATTCATAAAAAGACACAACAAACAACAGTGAGGAATAACTACACTAGTATTTTTTCAGTCCTCAAATCAGTGCTTTTCAATGTACCATCCAAGTGAATGATCCATTTAGTCATGAACAGTGGTCACAATGTGCTGGCGTACATTTTTTTCATACTGCATTAAAACAACAGTTAATACAGAATAACTTCCATTTTACTATTTAAAGTTGCATTGTTTGGAACCCAAAGCCAAAATATGTGCAACTGTACCAACAGAATATTTAATTTACATATTTCAATAATATATTACAATTATTTAAAACTACTGCTACAAATACCCATGTTCACAGAGTAAAAGCCTTTCAAAACTATTTTAACCTGTGCAGCTTTTAAAATTGCAGCACCCACAGCACAGTGTGTTTACCAGACATTATCCACGTTACTTTCTAGGGTGACACCGCCGTGATATTCAGCAGATCAGCGGTTTAATACAAACAGACACATACATACGCTAATGTGGCGCTCCTTTTGTATACCGCTTTTCTTGCACCGCTGGGGGTTAAGACTATGTATTTCACACCTACAATGTGGGAAAAAAACATTAGTAATTGTGTAGTATGAATAAATAAGATTAAAAAAATTAATAAATGTGGCTCTTAGTTAAAAATTAAATTTCTTATAATAGAAATACGATACATTGATGTGTAAAGACACGAAACGATCGGTCTGTGCAAGAAACTGAACAGTATTTATATAGTTTTTTAACCTCTGATTTACTGCAATGTCCAAACTGTCCCGAGCGCGTCTGCGTCTTCTTCTGCCGGCGCGTGACGCGTCTTCTTGCTTTACAGCAGATCTCAGACTTATAAGTGCATTACCACCACCTATCTCTCAAATGGACCATTGACACTCCTAATTGAGATTGTAGATAGAGTGTCAATGGTCCATTTGAGATATAGGTGGTGGTAATGCACTTATAAGTCTGTGATCCGCCGTAAAGCAAGACGACGACGACGACGACGCGTCACGCGCCGGCTGAAGACGACGCAAACGCGCTCAGGACAGTTCGGACGTTGCAGTAAATCAGAGGTAAAAAA